CAGTGGCTGGAGTTTTCTCCAGCCGTATGAGGCCTAGATAACAGGACAGAGAAGCCATCCTTTACAGTTTGCTGTGTGTATCGGGTCAGCTGGCTGAAAAAAGCCTACTATAATTCTTCCTACAAATGCAGACAAATTAGGCTCCTTAAAAAAATTTTGGTTCAAAAGAAAGAAAAAACTACAACAGATATGATTTTAATAATAGTTATCGAAATCTTAGCCAAATTAAGAATAATTAATAATTTTATGAAGAAATAAAACCAAGCTTAAGTTTCTGGCAGTCAATTTTATGGTAATATACGATACCAAAAAAAAAACTGAGAATCTCGTCACCATCCCATGCCAAAAGACAGGCATACCATGTGCCAGTATGATTCAAAGCACTTTAAAGCTACAGTGTGTAATTTTTAGCGACATCTAACGTTCAGACTGCAGACCGCAGCAACATGAACATCTCCCCCCCACCGCTCCTCCCCCCCAACAGTACGGCGAGCGTTAGGGGACAAAATGTCTTCCACGACGTCCGCATCACCTACCTTCTCAAGTGATGAGGTTTGTTTACATAGATAATTTTAATACTGCCATCTATTGTTCAGTACCGTCTCAGTTCATCTCTCTCACCTGCCGTAGTTACTTTCGAGCGTAATGGGCGATCTCGCAATCGCTAGTTTGTTGGTTCTGCGCTGCCGTAGCACAAAAATGTCTGCCTCCATGGCTGCGAGAACCGCTCCTATGTAATTATAAATAACGAATTCTAAGGCAACGCAAATATTAAGGTTAAAAGGCTGAGCTTGTAGATGATGATAAATAACATAGTTATGTATAATATATTACATTTCTGACTGTATATCCCTGTAATTATTACACACTGTAGCTTTAAAAAGCTGAGAAAAGAAAATATGAGGTTATTACAAAACAATATAGTAGGCCTCTTTAAGCCAGCTGAGCAGCAGTGCTACATAACGTGTGAACTGATTCCACAAGTAAGAACCTGCTAGTATCTTGACACCAAAAAACAGGATTGTGACAATGATTGTAAATAGAAAAAAGCATGGAAAAATATGGCAGAGAGACATCAAGAAAGATTAAGATTGGTTAGAAAGACAAGCAACGAGACTAACTTATCAAAAACGGACAACGAGCTGATCACTTTATATAATCCAAACTTTTGATTTCCTTCATTCCCTTTTGTTAATGTTTGCTCATGTCACAGGACAGCTGTGTTATCAGTGCGTTAGCTTGAACTGATAATACAGATTTTACTTACAATACAGCACACTTCAGGATTTCAACATCCAGAGGACTGCAACATTTACAGGGCTGTAAAAAGGAAGTAATAAAGACCTGAAACCTTTACGACGGCAGAAATTTACATGATGTCATTGTGATGCTGGAATACAGACTTGAATAAACCCAGCCTGCTTTTCCATTTTGCTTGTTTGGTTTGTTCATGTTGTGTTCTGGCACTGTCTCGGAGCAGCAAAGACAAACACAGGCCATGGATTGTTTCAGCTCCACCTTACGGATTCATGTGACTTCCCAAGCATCACCTGACTGTCCCTCTCCTGTTTCACAGGCCTTGCAACCATTGATGACAATTTAAAAGTATGTCTGAGAAGTGCAAGACGGACGCAACATGATTTCTAAAACACGGCTCAGAAAAGATTACCGTATCAAACTGTGCCTTTGACCGAACCGTTGAAGATAAAAGGAAGCCAACTTTAGGGATAAGAGGGAACAAATTCAATTCAATTTACTCAGACTGCACCATGTAGAGGACAGGCCAAAGTTACTTGGCCAAACTTAAAAATGGGTAAAAAAAAATAAATTCTGCTTTCTATTCCAGTAGATGTATTCCTGAGAAACATTAACATAATTCAACATTTTATCCAAGTACATTTACTCCATAGGGGAAGATGTACTTTGTCAGCTCGAGCCCCGGATTCTCAGGTTTACGCCTGGATACTGAGATGGACATTGTGTCCAGTGTACTATTTATGTTTTGATTTAGCCAAATGTTTGACACATGTTTGACCCGTTTTTTCTCTCCTGGTATTTCAAATGAGTCAAAGAGCTGTGTTCTTTAACAACATTCCCAGGGGAATTCGAAAAGAAAGAGGTCCACAGCATGAGAAATTCACCTCCATATTTAACATTGGGGAAAAGGGCTATTTACCATATGGTTATCGTTTCATGCCAGACCAACATTAAGGGTTTTTGTTAATTTTTTTGGTAAAACTCTTATTCTTAGTCTCAACAAAGCAAAGTGATGTTCTCCAGTAAAAGTACCAGTAGTTTTAATGAACTCCACATATTTATGATGGTAAGACAGAAAACTTTAGGACTTTCTTGCCTAGAGATATCCCTTGCTGCTCCAGGTTTCCAACAATGAGCTTTAAAGAACTTTTTTTTTCTTACCTCTAGCCGTCCTACTGACTGCAGGTGGTGGTAAGATAAACTTTGGTCCTCATCCAGCCTCGTTTGTCAGTTACTGACTGCCTATAAAGTTTAGATGGTAGCTATTCAATGATAAGCCTGTCCCTATTTACAAAGATCAAAATACATTTGCCTTTGTTGAATGGCATGTTCTCTTGTCCTCATTCTAAAGCGTGGCTCAAAGAAACATAATTTCTGCTTCTGAATGCAGAAAAAACAGAAGTTAGAGCCTCTGGACCAGAGTCTTTGAAAAAGAGGCTGATTAGTCAGTCACTTAATTTTTATCAGAAACTGTCATTTAAATCCCATATCAAGGAGGTTTCTAGAATTTCTTTCTTTCACTCCAGAATAATACAAAAATCAGAAATATCCAGGGGTGATGCTGAGAAACTGGTCCATGTATTTGTTACTTCAAGGGTGGACTATTGTAATTCTTTACTATCAGGAAGCCCACAAACTGTAGTTAAAACTCTTCAGCTGATCCAAAATGCTGCAGCCAGAGTTCTAACGAAAATTAAAAAGAGAGATCATATCTCTCCTATCCTGGCTTCTCTTCATTGGTTTACTTTTTAAATCCAGAATAGAATTTAAAACCCTCCTTCTCACATATAAACCCTTAAATGACCAAGCTCCATCTTATATCACAGATATGATTGTCACTTATGTTCTTAAAAGAGCACTTCACTCTCAATCTGAGGGTTTACTACTGGTACCTTGAATTTCTTAAAGTAGAATGGGAGGCAGATCTTTTAGTTATCAGGCTCCTCTCCTGTGGAACCAACTACCAGTTTTAGTCCATGAGGCAGACACCCTGTCTACTGTTAAATAAAGCTTATAGTTAAAGTGGCTTAGGTTATGCTGACCCATCGCTATAGTTACGCTGCTATAGGCTTAGATTAGTGGAGGACATAGGGACCCCTTTGCATTATTCTATCTCTATTTTCCCATTCTGCAGAATTTGTTTGTTCAATCTCTAATGTGATGCTTTCTCATAGTGGCTTCATCTGATCTGTTCCTGTTTGGCTGTGACACCATCCCAGAGAGAAATATCAGCTGTGCTCATGACATCAACACCTTTGATTATAGATGTTTGAGCTTGGCCTGTTTTTCAGTGTAGTCCTGTTTTTCTTACTCTGACTAACTGTATGTGCTCTCTTTTATTCTACAATTTGGGAGCTGCTTTGGAGCTCGTCTGCTTGGCTGTGTGTTTCCTGGACAGGGCCGCCTGTGGAACTGATTAAGATTTGCCTTTTGTATCTCTGCTTCTGTCTCCTTGAACCCCAGTCAGCCTCGGCAGATGGCCGCTCACACTGAGCTTGGTTCTGCTGGAGGTTTCTTGATATTAAAAGGGAGTTTTCCTCTCCACTGTCGCTATAAGCATGTTTGGTGTGAGGGATTGCTTTCAGGTCAATAAGTCGATGCAATCAACTGTTTTTTCTTAAATAGAAAAACAATCTCACTGTTTGACTAGAGTGGTTGAATTGTCTCTGTAAGGTGCCTTGAGATGAGGTGTTTTGAATTGGCACTATATAAATAAACAGAATTGAATCATTTTGCATGGAAAGAAACGGCTAAAGGGACCATTTGTTTGCCAATTAATAGTTCTGTCTGACTCTAATCTACTTACATTGTGTGTAACTTCAAAAATAAGTCTGACATATTTCATACTTAACTTGTTCGCTTTAAATTCTATTTAAAAAAAATTATATTTACTGTAGAGATCGAACTCTATTTTTGAGAGCTTACACAACTGCAATTAAGGAATAATTAACTTCATGGCCTTTATGCATCTTTATTACAGGGGTGTTATTACATGTGGTTGACAATGTACACCTCATCCTTTTTACATGAGTATAAAGAGAGGAAGCAGAAGAAGAGTACGGTAACTGGCTTGTCATTTTGCATGTCCAAACTTCCTTTTACAGGCAACAGAGGAGGCCCTCTACTGTGTCTTTAGTTCTGAATGAGCCCTTCAAAGAAGCACTATGGAAAAACTCACCAATAGTTGCACCTTCCCACATAGAGCTGCAGTTATCAGCACTTCTTAACAGCAATAACTAAACTACAACTTCTGTGAAGGTTACAGAAAACTTCTGGTCAAAGTGAACTCATGACCCGCATTGGTTCTGTGGCACCAAAACATCACCCAATAATCAAAAGGGTAAATAGGAGTGCTCAGAGCTTGCTGCTAAATCAACACAATAGTTTCAAAGAGGTCCAACACTGGCACATTTGAGTGTGAATCAGACCCAGCTTTGCATATCGCCATGGAGTCATGTCAAACACACTGACGTGAAGAGATATGTGTATGATTTTCCAAAGGCTGACAACAATTGTAGTTTGACTCGCCACTCCCAGAGTAAACATATCTCAGCTGTGATCATATATGACCTGACACCAGAACACGCGCTGCATGGTTTCTACCCCCCACCAAAGGAAAAAAAAAAAACTTGCTTTCCATGTATTTATCTTTTTAGAGATAAATAAACATGTGTTTGGGATGTTTTAATGAAGGCTTAGAGTGATGAGACAAAAATAATGCATTCTTAAGGCTGGACTCTTACTATTGTGCGCAGTCGATGAGCTGGTATTCATTTGATCTCTCGAAACATGCCTTCACTCCTTCATCGTCCCACAGCTTCTTTGCATGATCGAAGAACTCCTGAAGAAAAAAAGGAAAAATACAATTTTTAGAAAAATAATCTACATTAACATCTATACATCAAGTTTTAAAACTACACAGTAAGTATTTCTCAAAAAGCCTTAGGGCAGTAAATGTATTGCTTTGGCAAACTGAAAACACGTGTTTTCATCTGACTTTTAGTCATTTCGATCAGTTATGCCTAACCGAATAACTCATCTTAACTCATCTTAAATTGATAATTTCATTAGTTTTACTGCATTTTAGTTTGGCTTTATACATTACATTTACTATATTTAATGCATTTCGTAATATTGTCATTATGACCCAACTTCTATAAATAATTAAAATCAAATGCAGATGTTAGTTTACTTTTATTTTATGTGTTCAATTCTAAATTGAAAGATTGAATTTATTCCATATGAATTTATTCTTCTCCTTTAAAACATGAAATTAAACACAACAGTACTTTTTAATCACATTATCTTTTATTATTCATTTTACACTAGCTACTCAAATTAAATATAGATATTTGTTTCTCAATTTCTTCTTTCAATCTATCGATTCACCATATTATTTGGGAACCTATAACACTCTAATCAGGAATTTCGTAACACTTTTAGTTGCAACATAGTGCAAAAATTGATTCAGGTTTTCCTGTTAAAATTAGATGATAGATTATATAAACCGATATACAAAAGTTTGATTCTTATGGGTACAAATTTATTTATTTACATTTATCAAAATGGAAGACAGTGGGAACAAATGGCAATGCCTGGGTACAAAAGTGGTAAAAGACCTAAATGATCCAGGGCCACTGGAAGCAGCAGGGATAATACCCTGGTTTACTGGCAGCATCTGAACCAAGAAGGGCGGTTCAGGGATGCATTGCAGTTAATAACCGTTGTCCAACATTTAAACCTGAGGCTGCCCCGTCTAGAAATTTCCACATACATGTCATACTGTATTTAAACTATTAATGAGTGCCTCCTCAGCCTACTCCAATGATATGAAGGAGGCCACTAATAATCCATTTACACATGTGGACAAAGTTAGTGTTACCCATTTTTTGTTAAGAAAACCCACAATGTTCATAGAAACAACTTGAATTTGAAAAAAGTAATTGTCCGTTTTCATCCGATATATATTTAACAACCAAAACTACATGGCCAAAACCTGTGATGCACGACAAACAGCACATCCAACACGGCATGAGCAAACAGCACACTCTGTACGCAGAAACATAATCGAGAACACCAGGAAAAGGACGGAAGCAAGAGAGCCCAGGTGTCAGAGCAGAGTTTGAGTTGAGAGCTGGGAAAACAGGTTTTGAGTGAGAATGTTCAAATTTAAGCCCTTGGCATCGGTCTTACGGCGCGCTTAGGTCAGTGGCATAAAAATTATGCCACAGAAATCCAAGCATCCCCATCAACATTCAAAATATGAGAAGAATGTGACACAGAAAAGGAAACAAACACCATTCCAACCTATATCATCTGTAAGTACTTCAAAAATAAATAGGACAAACATCCATAAGGCATAATAATGTACCAAAGACTTGATTACAGCTTTTGGTAGACTTTGAACAGGGGTGGAATTTTATGCTACTCCAATACAAGAGCCCCAACCAACAATGTCAGATATGATACGACTAGTAATGACATATGACCAATATGGCAGACAGCAGCAAATAAACCATAAGTAGCTTAATCGAGAATGTCGTCACTGAAATGAAACATGTCTGGCTGGACTAGGGCTGCATGTTATTAGAAAATCATGCAATCAGGACATAGTTGTAACATAATGCTAAAATGGTAACAGTTACTTTATCATTATTCTTCTCAATTCTGTCCATCTTTGGCCTATCTTGATTGTCGTTCAGATTTGCATCATCAGATACATATCGCAAAGGGATCTGATGGCAATAGCCCAGAATTGAGGACAGCAGAAAATAGTGTGTATATATATATATATATATAATTTGTGTGCTTCCAAGAATCTATAACCCTCAGCAGGCATGGCACTAGAATTGGCGAGAGACATTGCTATGACAAGCAATTCTACAAAATGAATATGTTGTTGCTCTTCAAACTGTTTGCCCATGATACTTGGGATGAAAATTTTGAAAAAAGCATAGATTTCTGTCAACTGCAAACATGCAACTATATTCGTTCAACAAATTTACAAACAAGCGAAATCCGGTAATCTGAAGACATTTATGCACATTCACAATGCCATGAACCATGCCAAGAAAATGGCTATTATTCCCTAGTGCGTCTCCAGCAGACAGAGAGTCTCAATGTATAAGTTTGTCAAACTAGATAGAGCCATCGGGTCACATCAAGAGACATCAGATGCTAATGCATCAGGTGCACAGAAAGTGTTAGTCGGCAACTTAAGTAATGAAAATCTGTCCCTTATCAGCTAAAAAGAAAAACAAATATCAGAAACTATCATAGATAGAAACCCCCTCCCTCTGCCTTAAGCTTAGGTAATCCCTTGGTAAATAATATATTCAGTTCAATTGTATGAACTAATCCCAAAATGTTGCAGTAACTCCTTGGCTTCGACATGTGTCAGTTATTCTCATAAATGTTGTTGTCATCTACTGTTCTGTTTGAGTTATACCACTTGATCAAGTCTTTTCTAACATCTCACACTACAAAATAGGTGTATAGGAGTCAAGCCCAGGTTGTATTGGGAAATATTGTAACATCGTTATGGTATCGGAAATAAAAAGCTGTAACAGGACATCCCTTGATCAATTCACCTTTCACAAAATGTTAATTTATACTTGTCAAAACGAATTCTTTAAGGCAAAAGAACTGCAAAAAATGCTATTTCCTTAAAAATTGTAAAATTCTCTTATTTCTTTGGCATAGTCATTATTTCTAACCATCAGTAATATTAAAAAAGAATCGCCCCAAATGGCTGTTATTAAGCTGAGGCTATACTAGCTATACAGTTTGGTAAAGTATGAAGCAGCCTCCTGCGGGGTGGCTATCCATGCAGATAGACAAACTATTGAAGCAATAAAGATCAGCTTGTTTAATGTGTGGTTTAACAAGCTCTGAACTATACAAAGTAGCAAAAACGAATATGCATTTAAAATTTAGACATACATAAAATATCTGCATTGGGTTCCGGTAGCATTACTAGAACATCAGTGGGCCAATATTTCTTTATTTGATTAAAGACGTTTTCTTTAAGTCTACCAACATTTCCTATCAGCTAGCATGTTTAATAAAAGAGACTGAAACTAAATCATTAGACAACAACAATCTATCAATTAATTTGGATATCTAAATGATAAAAACATAAAAATGATTTTTGGGATTTTTATTGTTTCTTTATTTAAATGGGGTTGGAGTGGAAGTGTGGTGAGGCAATACCTCACAGTTTTACTGTAATCTGAATCATTTGAGGTTTATGAACACTTAAATCTGGAGTAGAATATTGGTGATTAAATACAGATCATCCCTCAGCTGTTGGATAAACCTTGAGAGACCGAATAAAAAAATAAATAAAAAAAAAGAATTCATTTAAAAGCAAGAGAAGCTTTGGTCTAGAATAAACCCCGAGAAGCAGGGTAAGAAAAATTGATTTAAATGTTCTTTTCTTTCATTTTCCATTAAAATCTGTATGTCACTCAAAATACTAAATGATTCCTGAATCAGACAAGAAAAAACCTTAAACTTTGCTGGTGACAAACCAAATATACAGGTCATCGCCTACAACTCCTTCAGTACACAAATTATATTTAATTTTAGATTTTCAACCTCTGCTGCTTTCGAAGGTAAAACATCTATTTCTAAAATTTTTCCAGACATTGCAAGGCCACATGGCAATCCTGTTGAATGAACCAACAACAGTGTCGTACCAAATTGTAGAATACGAAGTATTAAAAATAGCCACCTTTGACTCCTCCGAAAGAAAAAACTTCTACACCAGAGAGTGTGCATGTTGGTGGGACATCTGTTAGCGTACACACCTCATCTGCTCACTGCAGCGCGATCCACCTGAAAAGCGATCCAATGTTGTTCAACAGTGGATCTCTTGGTGGAAAAGAAGAAGTATGAAAGAAAAAGAAATTACCTATATAATATGATTTTAAATAAGAATACAGTAACCCACTCTTAGCAAAAATGTATCTATTGGCATATTTTCCTGCTCACTTCCTGCTCCTGGACAAAGAGGAGCATTATGGGAGAGGGGGCTTATCCGATCCATGACTTTAAGACATTTCCCAGGACTCTCTGTATGCCCTATACAGTGATGATTGGGCGAACAGCCCTTACCAGCAACTGTGTCTTTTAGAATGGATGGGCTCCTCCTCTACCCTGGCACCACCACATGACTCTGCACTCAGTCCTGGCTCTACGCTCCAAATGGGGAGGGAGTGGGGGTAGGGGAGTAGCCATGAACCAGAGAGGGAAAAGAGGAGAAGGAGCCTGATGAATGATCACATACTCCAGGAGACCTCCTATTAGAGGATCCAGTGATTAGGTTCAATGTAGAGAAACTCCACGGATCTCTTCCAGTGTCACTAAATCAGTCTTGAACTTAAGGCACAAAAAACAAATACCCCCTTATCTTAGTGCTAAAAATGCTAAAAGTACCCCTAATAAACTTGTGACACCAACATAGATGAATTCTCTCCAACAGTGGGACTGAACAGTTGCCATCGCCGTCAAACTTCAAATTGTTTTGGGGATTATCAGCAATAGCTATTAAGATTTTTATTCTTATTGTTGCAGATATCATCTGTGGCATAAAGTTCTAGTGGAGGGCCAGACTAGGAAGTTTCGAGCTCGTCGGAGTGAGGACGAGGAGCACAGAGTGTATGATCCTTAGGGCTCTTTTCCACAGAAGCTTGTGACACTGGGGTTTTCAATAAATGTAGTGTGTTTGCAGTGCCCTACAGAGGAACTGATAACGCAGAAAGAGACCAGGAGGGAATTTGCTGCTTTAAAGCAAGTTTTTTTGGTTTTTGTTTTGTTGTGTGCTTTTTGTATTATTTA